TCTCCCGCTCCGGGGCTCAGGCTGAGCTCGTACCTCTCCCTGCTGCCCCTTTCTCAACTATCCCCGGCGCCGCACTCCAGACACCTCGTCACTTCTTCACGTTTCCTCCCGCCCCAGCTTTGTAACTTCCCGGTCTCCAGGGAAGCGACAAGGCGTGAGTGCAGGAGACATCTCCATCCACCACGACGGATGAGCGATAGAAACCACACCTGCAGTCCCTGAAACCAAATGCTGTCCCTCCCCCCACTGATGTGCAGCTGCCTTCAAAAAAATTGCCTCAAGACTGAAAACGGAACACAGAATTTTGTTTCAAACATGAATAAATGCTGAGCCTGCTTCCTGGAGGCTGGGTAGCTGGTGCACACCTGTTTCCGGGAGCAGTAGCAGTAACTCTCCAGCCAAGGTTTTAATGACAGCCTCCAAGAGCTTTCTGCAGGTTGCAGAAAGGGGCAGAGTACCAAAATGAACCAAGGTAGGAGCTGTGAGAGCTACAGTTTCTGCTCAGACAGATACTAGCTGGGGTTGATGTTTTAAAATAGGAGATTAGTGATTTTATGAAAGACTTAAAACCTAGACCAGCTCTCAGGATTCCAGTCAGAGAAACGATTTCTGAAATCAGTACCTCAAATAGAGAAAGATCCTTTAAAATACCATTAAGACATTCCACTCTAGGCTGCCAGAAATCAGGAATCCCCGGGGCAGGTTTTGGAGCTGAACTAAGGCAGCGTTGCAGTATTTGTCATGGCTGTGAATACACATAAATAGTATTCTAGAAGTAAACTTTTACATTTCCTAAGTCCTTGGTGATTAAGGTTTGGATTTAGTAAATAACTAGGCACTTGAGCAACTTTACACACCTGAGCAATTTGAATAGTTTCATGAACTTGAATTAGGAGTGATATTTTCATGAGACAGTCTTGCATTTAATTTCATGTATTTTAGAAGACAAAACAACTCAAAGTGAGGTATGTCCATGAAAGTGACATATAGATTTAACTATTTCCAAACTGCTAGGTAATATAGTTGGAAATGCCCAAATACAGGGAAGAATGGAGCATCTGGACTGGCTAGCCTGATTGGCAAGACTGAAGTCAAGACTTTACCAAGCCAGTCTTCATTATCTTGAAGCTCCGCTAGTACATTCATTCTTTGGAGAACTTTTGACAAAGGAAATCCTGTTTGGGGAGGTTTTCTTGTTTTACAGACCAAAGGAACCAACACAATCACAGTGTTTCTAGAAATTAAACAAATACTCACCTTCTTTACAGCTGTAAGTATTTTTGTAACACAGCTTAAACACCTTGCTAATCATTTGGACAGTCTATCCTTTTTTCTTCAGTGTGTTTGTATTGTAAATCCACTGCAAAGCATTTCTGTAATGGCTCTGAAGGAAAAAGAAATTGATTATATCCATGCAAGCAGTAGCAGCATTATCAACATGCTTTCTTGAATTACTGGTGAATAAATATTCTGTCATTGCATTTTACAGCCTTTCCCATATTCAAAGCACAACTGAGGAATACACTGTCATACGACAGCAGTCAAGTGATTAGCAAAGCTTTTGCTAACTTCACCAGGAAAATGGCAGTAGCTGACAGAAGCTTTTGTTGATCTATTTTAACAAAGGTCAACTGCAAGCATTTGGACACTGTGCATAACACTTAATAACAAAAATTGCTGTCTTTATCATGCAACCTTAATATTTCTAGCCACAGACTCTTCCCTTTCAACTGACATCTACTTTTGTAAAGAAATTTCCTAACATAGCCAAAGCAGTTGCTCTGCATTTGTAATTTTGGTAAACTTAGCACACATGAAAGGCATTTATTCAATTTAACAGCCCCTTCAGGTCATAGAAGTGTGCCATTTGAAGGCTATTAAATTCAGAAGACTTCAAATCCTGCGGGTCAAAAATCCCAGGGTCACAGATGTTCACAGAATACACGTCTACAACTGCCCAGGTACATATTTTGACTCTCAAGTATTTTAGCATTAATATTTCAAAAGCCAACTTTGATGATAAAGATTTATGTCAATGTTAGCCAAGCAAAACTGGTACTTTAATTGAGGTAGAGGAGTGCACATGTGTGTGAGAGAGCACATGAGAGTGCCAGAATAGAAAATGTGTTTTCTTGAAGCAAATTATATCAATAGATGATATCTGGCACAAACCTGGCAAAAAAAATATAGCCTATGTTCTTGTACATGGAAAAAACCCATACATGAAACAAGCCTTTTCATTTCCTGCACACTGAGAAGGCAGTAAATGAAGCCCACCCCCACTTTGTCTCACAGTGCATTGGTGTAAGGTGCCAATAAAGAAGAGAATTCTGAGTGATTTTGAGCCTTGATAGGCAGCTATTGGCATACATTTTTCACTGCTGTAGTGCCAAGACAACAGGAAAAGCAAGAGGGCAATAGAAAAAGTGTTTCCAAGATCAACAACAGCACACTAGGAACTAACAATTTATTGAGGAAACGAGTTACAGAATTTAAAATGTTTCCGAATTAAGCATTTATTTTAACTTTAGTAAAACAAAGAAGTTTATGGATAGGCTGACAAGTTGCTGCAAGGCTATCCACAGCCTTTGTCACATTCGTGCTATATCTCGATAGGAGCAACTAGATATGTAGTCAAATGAGGAATGTACATGGCCTGAAGTCCAAAGCAGCATGGTTCTGATAGCACGGTATTTTTTCTGGGGTAAAGAAATACTTTATTCTCTCCATCAGACAATTTAGCTGAACTATTTAAGTGCCTTTACTGCTTCTTGATCCATAAGGTCAGCTTCAGACACCTTCTGCCTGCTGGAAATAACACAACTATATCAGGTAAGGTAAACTGTTGATGGGGGAGCTGCAGCTAATTTATGTGAAACAGCAATTGGTTACAGGCACACTGATGTCCTGAGGTGGTGTGGGGTTTGACTTTTTGGCTACTTCTACAGGGAAGAGCCAGTGTGAAATAGCTGCCAGGGTTCAGAGTTCTTTAGCCCAGTCTGTGTCATCATGTCAGGTACTTATATGTGCATCCAAATATGGAAATGCCTTGTAAATGCCTAGCCTAGAAATCAAAAATCACACAATACTAGTTCGAAGAATCCACACAAGAGAATGCTCATACAAGTGTCAGAACTTACAGAAAAGTTAACTAAGAAAAGCTTCAAAGGCAACGTACAAGCTAACAGAAAAGTCCCATTTTGTCAGTACTGCACAGGATTCACATTCCAAATTCCTTAGTAAGTTCTACGCTCAGGCAAGAAGCAGTTGGATGAAACCCTTTCAACACACACGTTGCATTCATGTAATTATGTTGCTAAAGGTATGTAGTTTATTGGGAGATTTTTTTGAAACCTATTTCAATGTAATTCCCAGTAGAGATGTAACTGTATATCAGTGCAGAACTGCTTTATAGCAGCTTAATGTCTTTCTCTAAGGAAATGTTTGGGGTTTTTTTATCAGTACTCACAACTTTACATTGATAGATCTGTGTTGATTTGTAGATTTAAAGTAATACATATTCATTACAAAAACCCCGAGCTGCTAGTTAAACAAAGCTAAAAAACCCAAGACACTAAGCTATTTGAGCTATTTCCTCTGAATACTGGCGAGGAAGAAATAATTATTCTATTTTTAAACACTTGGAATGTGAAGGCCTATGAAAAGACATACACAAATCGTGAGTCTGCTGAAACCAGGAAAAAGGTGAGCAACAAGAGCAAAGAGGACCTACTGAAGGAAGAAAGAAACAGGAAGAAAGTGTATTCTGTCCATGGAAAAGATTTTGACAAAAGTAGCTCTTCTCAAAATATGAAATATTTTCTCAGCCATTCATCTGAGTTGCCACTGGAAACAGGGATCATCTTGGTCAATACAGACTATAAATATTTTATGAGACATTAGTAAAATGGGTATGATCATATTTCCTAGTTATGAGTGCTAACAGACCGTCACAAAAATACAATTATTCTAATTAAATACAGCAATAATCAATATCCTGTGCTCTGTATGAGTTTGCTTCAGTAAATAGTGATGCATATTTTTCAGATTAAAATGTTTAAAAGAAAAAATGTAATAGCTTAATAAACTGGACTACAGTTTCCTTCACAGGCCACAAGCTGCTACATAATGCATGAATCTTAACTCTTCCCATACAGTTAACTATCATTTCAGGTAAAGAGCTCCACCAGTTGTCCTTGGCACAGCTTCAAGACAGCTTCAGCTTTCCATCTGTAAGTATCTGATAATGGAAGGATTCTGTAGGTCCTTCTGTTATACATACTCGTGCAGCTGCTCATCTCAGCAGACATTCCACCTTCAGCCTTTTCACTTGTCCCAGATATTTCTGTTTTTCTTTTATAGCTAACTTTGGAGGTAATAGTCATAACTAGAAATTAATTCCACCTAGTGCCCAGTATTTTCCTGAGATATTTGCTTTCAAAAGGAATTGTTGTCAGTCATTTCTCAGCTTTCATATCCATATGTTAAGTTGGAAGGAAGATGTAAGCTGCAGATTCATCACTTAGTCTTTAAGTAAGTTGTGCATATTCAATGACACCATCTTGCTTAAACTGGTGCCAGTGTGAGAAAAATGACCTCGCTTAAATAATTTAAATGGCATTCATTAAAAGGAAGAAATTGCTGAGTCAAGGGCTGTTGAGGTACCTTGTCAGCATCTTCAAAGATGAAGTGGTTTTTAGGAATAAAGAACAACTTCATAAGTGTAGCTAGTCTCTTTATCTCTTCACACTGTAGCTTAGCCCGTGATGCCAACGCACCTATAGCACAGCCCTCATAGCTCCCATCTGACTGACACAACCACCTTTGAGGAAGGAGATTAAGATTTTGGGATAGGCAGGGCAGTGCTGGTGTGCTTTAAAGGCAAAAGCAACTGCCTCAACTTCACAGTAGAGTGGAAATTATTAGCAGCAAGTGTGAAAAGAATCAGCTAGCCACTAGTTAAAAATAATAATTCTGTCTATCCTGGATTGAGAAATGTCTTGTGTATACAAGGCCAGTTAAATAAACTGCCTTTTAATCTAAAAAAAAGATAAAATCCCTTTGGTAAAGACAGTATAAAGGGAAAGCAAATGCAACACTGCATATAGCCAAAACATGCTGTTGTGGTTCTGGTGGGGCAGTTTTCCAATTTTTTTCTCAATCCCAGAATAACAGTAACAGTGCACGACCTTAAACTTGTGCTTCTGCTTGCATGGTCCCTATCTGGCAGCTGCGGGGAACCTGTTTATTTTAATAGATATTTATGACAGAGACAATTTCAACAGGGCTCTACAAGAATGCTGCAGTGGATCCAGGAAGAATAATTTTCACAATCAAATCCTCACTGTATTTCTGTGTCAGTATTTGTAAGGCCGTCTTCCCCAAGAATTTGAGTGAGACATCTCACACAACATGACGCGATGATGTAATATACTATTTTGGATCTATAGCAGGGCAATAAACATGGAAATTTCTTAAAATTTTGAAAAATATAACCAAAGAAAGCATCCATGCAGTATGATACTACTGACAAGGTCACACTTGTGCTTCTTCCCCCATTCAGCCAAGACATGCATTGTAAAGGGACAGGATTTCTGATATTTCTTGGCCCTTTCAGAAACAGGGGAACACTTTGATGACTAGTCTTTTTCCTGGCTTTCTGGATTCCAAGCAGAATAGCAAAATTTAAAGTCTTCATAACTTTGAGAAAATGTCTAACCTTCCACTTCCTTCCCTTAACCACTATTTAGAAATAAATGGAACATGTATAGAAAATAAAGGAGTCAGGTACAGAACAATAGCAGTAGACCTGCAGCCTTTTAATGTCTATATTTTATAATAATAGGTATTAATATAGGATAAAACTGAGTACATATTTTCAAAATAATAATAATAAAACCAGAACATCTTTCCCCCTAGAATAGGGCTTGACTTTAAAAAACCAAACCAAACCAAACCAAACCAAACCAAACCAAACCCAAGCTTATTTTAAGTCTTTTCTTTACCTTAGTTGATCAGTTTTGATCTTTGGTTTATGTGGATGAGAAATCATCTCTTTCTAAAAAGAGAGAAAGACATTAATAATTACTAGTTTATTCTAAACTTACTGTTTATCCTGGAAGACAGCTTTATACAAACACCAAAACAAAAGACTATGTTAGCAATAGTAAAGAGTTTGGGGATTTTAATGTGCTGATATGGTACCTGATTAGTTCAGAGTATAATACTCATATACGTTATTGTCTCAGAAGGAAGGAGACTCGTGTTTTGCTTCAGGCCTAGCTTTAATGCATAGAATTTGGACAAAGCAGATATACTTGGTTCAGCACTCTAATAAACTTTGAGAAGAGGAAGTACATAATAGGAACCAACTTAAAAGCTTAAATAAGGAGGAAGAAAAAAAGGAGGCTTTTACATCTAAAATGATTATCCTTTGAAATCACGTTTTCCAAGTCACTACTCTTATCAGCTTTAAAATTTCAGTACTGCTCTCTTCTATTAAATAATGAAATTGTATTAATTAGGTTCTTCGTAAGGACAGATGTTTAACCTTATATGGGGTAAAACTCATGTATCTCTGCTTTGTATCTTTTGAATTACAACTGAAGGAAAGAAGTGCCTTGATATAATACAGACCTCTTCTTGAATTTTTTTTCTCCTGATAAACATCCAGCCATGCCAAGCAAAACCATTATAAATCAGTAAACCTAGAGTTCACTACTGATAATAATAAAACCCCCTAAATGCAGTTCTTTCTTTTATTGCTCAGATTTAGTTTATGAGAGCTTTTTAGGGAGCAGAGCATATGAAACCTGCAGCCAGTTTAATAACTTTGTTATAAACTAAGTTTTAGTGTTTCAGTGGGAAAAAACCTAGAGACAACAATGAAACAAAAAATCAAAGCAACAGGCTTTAAAGATTCCTTTGGCACATTAAACTGAGAAATTTAGACACTTACATACAGTTGTATTAAAATTGGTTTAATTTAAGTAACTGAGGTCCTTTCATTATGTATCTCTACACAGAATACAGAGCCTTCAGCAAAGTGCTGCCACAGTTCTCACCGCCGTTCTGACGCATAATCCATTCTCAATGATTCTTCTATTCTGTTGTCTTGGAGAAAGTAATTGAGGCCAGTGTGTTGTAGCTGACTAAATTATACATATGCCCACACAAAAATAAAATGTAGCATCAAGAAACAGTCGGTTGTACCTTCAAACACTTTAATATATTTATAATATCACTGTCTTGCTCCTTGTGGTTTCCAGATTGGAAACAGTCCAGTAACCATATTTAGTTCTCTTAAACTTCATTTAGCTTCTATGCCTGTTGCTTCCTACTGTCTGGCCTGAGACTTTCAGAATCACACAGCCTACAGGATCCTCTTTGCTCAGGGAATTTGTTGAATAAAAACTTTTCTGCATGCTTACTCAGTTCAAACTGAGTTGCTTTTGCTATGAAAGGCTGATGCCATGATATAGTTTGCAACATCTCATGAACCCTCATACACTGGACTATGGTCCTTTGAATGCTGTCTGTACTGTCGGCACGCTCAAACTTTGCGATGCATTCATAATAAAAAGGAAAGCAGACTTACTGCAATCCTTTCCTCTCTCTGTTTCCTCAGTAAAGCTAGTATTTCTTCTCTTCTCCTGGCCTGAAAAGAAATATATTTACCACAATAAGCTCAGAAAAATGAGTTAAAAGCATGTAATACTTGATTGCCAACTTTAAATTCCTCATTGAAGCTGAGAACTAAAGTGAACATAGAGTAGAAACAGGAATAACAGGTTACTGGATAAAGTACCTCAATTTCTCTTTCTTCCTGAGATCCTGAAAACAGACCACTTGGGAGAGCAACCTTCTCCTCCTAGATTCATATGAGGCTTGAAATAATAATTCTTTCCTCAAATCAGAAGGAATCACTCCAAATGTCAAGGTGAATATACGTACTAAAGTTAGTGAATACTATTCTGTAGCATCTTGAGATTATAAAATTGGGGTTATTGAGGATGCACATATGCATAATGACTCAGTACAAAAATCTTTTCATCTGAGAGGTACAACCAGAGATAACTTTTGTCTTCAGTATGCATCTTTGGATTAAGCCAGTCTCTTCTACTCTGTAGAAGTGATTTAAAACTGTGATAATTTCAAAGGTGATAGAATTTAGTCTAGTTTTGAACTACAGAACATTTAATGACTCTTTTCAGTCAATGGTCCAGGTTCTTCTTGCTACAGGAAGAGATGTACACATCCAAGAACTTGTTAAAACTCCTCTCTTTATGCAGTTGGAAGAAAATATAATTTCCTAGGGAGAATAAATTCCTACTGAGAATATTTTATTATTCTGATTCCCAGGTATCTGAGCACATCTGTATATTTTGGCCTTATGGAAATGAATAACTTTCAGCTACAGGGAGACATCACTGTTTAAGCTGAGTAAAAACATATTAAATTGTTTTCATAAATTCCTAGCAATTTGTTACAAAACAGACATTCCAGGAAGTATTTTGGGAAAACCCTCAACCAATCTGGATTTGAACAGTAAATGACAACTATGACTAATAATAATGTGAACATTATTCTTATTTCATTCAGTGCATTAATTTTCATTTTCTTAGACTTATTTGAGGCTTATAGCATGTCCCGTAGTTGTATAAAGTAATTTGCTCATTGAAATTAATCAGTCATCTTTATGGCTGCCAAATGCCCAAAGCTGCAAAACTTTGCTATCATCTATTGTTACTGAATTTTAAAAATTCAGTAAATTTTTAAATCATTAAATTTACTCTCCCAATAGGGAGATTCAGAAAACTGTTGCTAACTTCAGCCAGAATTCAGAAAGAAAGCTAATTGATGATAATGGATGAGATGCATTCTGGAATTATTAATTGGAAAACAAGGATTGCTGGCTTGCAGGAAAGACTTGCAGACCTCAGCACCTTTCTGCACCTCTTGCAGATTGCTCTCATCTGGCCCGCTTCCCAAATACAGGCTAGAGGCTTTTCAGTGAAAATGTGGAATGTTTTACTAAAATGAGAAAAAAAAATATAGTGACAGGGTCAGGCTGAAAATGTTACTACAATGTTTAATACTAGTTGTCTTAGTTTACATTACTTGTGTGAATTGTATTCATGGTATATGTGTGCAACACTAATTCACCATTAGATTAAGAGGGGCTTCAGCAGAAGTTTATATCTGTCTCAATGGCAAGCACAACTGTTATCTGCATCTTCTTTTTCTTGGCAAAGTAGTAGTAGGAGAAACCCCAAGCTCTATATACTGTTTTGCAGGAGATGAACCTCAGTGGTCTGGATACTGTGTCACTTACGTCGCTTCTTTTCATGGCCGATATATAAGGCTTGATTCACTGCATGAACATGAGTATATATACCTCGTAGCATGCTAAATTTTTTGGATCCTATCCACCAATTGCAAACTACAGGAACCATTAACTAAAGTGCTGAGTAGAGAGTTCCATGCCAGATTGATGTTAAGTTTTGTAGAACTCCACCAAGTCAGAAGGCTCTGTGCAGTCCAGATGGATCCAACCTGAAAGATGCTACAATATCCCTGTTACACCTTCCTTTGGAAAGACAGCATCATCTATAAGCTCAGTTTTGATGTTGTTTGCTAAAACCTACAGTTTGTTCTGCAGCTTCTATAAAATTTGAAATGGTTTGGTCTAGCAGTTCTTGAATTATACCTCTCTAAAAATATCACCTAAATCTGTCCCTGGGTGACATGCTAACGCAGAGGCATTTCTGTAGAAGGTGATTTAATAACCACTCACTAGCAAATTTCCCGCATCTCTCAGTCAATGAACTCTTGGCAAGAGCTGCTGCTGGGCACAGGCTAATGGAGGAAATCTATTACAACTAAGAAATAAACTTATGCTTTGAGCTGTGCTTCAATGTCTCTGTGCCAGGATTTTGTGTGTGAAAGTGCGTGCAGCACTGGTGGTTTTTTCCTCAAAAAATTATCCACTTTTGAATCTGGGCACTGTCAGTTGGCTACTTTTAAATACAAAATCAGAAGAGATATTATGTGATTACCATGAAGAAATTCAGTACATAGCCTACTGCTTTCAGCCCTACCCCAAGACAGCATGAGCCAATTGGGAATAAGTTTAAGCTAACCATCACACAAACCACACCATGGGCCAGGTCCAGGCGATATTTATTACTGTTCATCATGTCATTTCCCAAGTTCTAGTACTCCACCAAATGGCACACAGTGAATGGAAATATTTATGAAGAAAGAGTCAGGGTCAGTGGTTCTTACCTGCTGAAGATATTTTTCTTTTACTTTAGTTTTCTCCATGCTTTGAGCTTCTGAGAGTCTCTCTTTCTCACTGTTTTTCTCACTTTCTAAATAATACAAATGAGAAGCAAATGAGCAAGTGCTCCTACTACCACTGTCCTTCACAGAGGGCAACTGAACCATCGTGTACTTCGGGGCCATTCAGGAAGTTTGTGTCCCATTGTCCGGATCCCAAGACAATAGGTATCAGCTGAAATATCTCAGTCGTGCACATTAGGGGCTCTGGCTCTTTTGTCATCCAGAGCTTATTGTCATGAGTCATCATTCGTTCCTGAGAATTAATTCTTCCCAGAAATGTAGGCAACAAAGGTTTAGCAAGCTGGGGACACGCAGTGCTTCCTACTTACTTCTAGAAACTTGTGGGCCCTGGAGAGCAGTACTTCTCTCTGGAAAGTAAAATCACATTAAGCGTGCCTGGGGGATGGTGGCACAGGGAAGGCATGGGGACCTGGAGAGGTGGGGGAGGTCTGAAGAAGGTGCCAGGCCAAAGGTGTGGGGCCCCCAGGAGAGCACCGGACCTCAGGAGGATGTGTGAGGCCTCAGGGAAGGTGTGGGGATGCTAGAAGAGGTGTGAAGCTCCAGAGAGGGGCCCCAGGAGGAGCATGAGGCTCCAGGTAAGGCGTGAGACCCAGAAGAGAGGTCCCCAGAGACGGTGTAGGGCTGCAGGCAGGGTCCCCTCACAGGGCAGGGTCCCCTCACAGGGCAGGGTCCCTTCATGGGGCAGAGTTCCCTCACAGGGCAGGGTCCCTTCATGGGGCAGGGTCCCTTCATGGGGCAGGGTCCCCTCACAGGGCAGGGTCCCTTCATGGGGCAGGGTTCCCTCACAGGGCAGGGTCCTGCCATAGGGCAGGGTCCGCTCACGTTGCAGGGTGGCAGGGCCTAGACAGGACTCAAGTGGTGGTGGGAGCATGGCTGAGGTCCAGAACATGCGGGCGAAGCCCACGTCGGCTGGGCTTGAGCCAGCAAAGACAAGGGACCCATCAGGCGCCATCGGATGCTGTCCTGGCGCTGTCCCCCTGGCACTGCATGGGACTGTGTCCCGGTGTCCCCTCTCCATGAGGTGGGCCTGCCCAGCTCAGCCTGTCTGCTCCTACCCTGCAGCCACAAGGAGGGGATAAGGCAGCAGGACCCTGGTGCTGCCTGTGCCACTGACTTGTCCCTGTCACTGCCACCTGCTCTGGTAGGTACCCATGACCTCTCTGCTGGGGCCATTCCCTTTTCTGTGCCATCACTGGCATCCGTGTGCCAGGAGGGAGGACTGTAGTGAAGGTGTGAAGCCATCTCGGGGGTGGACACAGCAGCACAGACATGCCTGGGGAGCCTGGACCCAGCTACACGGTAAGGGGGACACTGCCTGTCACAGTAAACATGGAAGACCAGAAGGCTGACCACATTGTACATCTCATTTCAAGTGTCTTCAGGCTGTTGTCACTCAAGTCTAGCCTTGGATCTCTCTAGAAACAGGAAAGAGCTGACACCACAGGCCTCAGTTTTATTAATTCAGCGAGAGTGACTGGAGGTAAATGTGAAAAGAATGGCCTCAAATAGGTGTAAGGGTAAGAAAAACACAATCAGAATGGGAGCTGATATCTGCAAATTTGGGGAAGAAAAAAACCTTTCAATTTGTCCTCATGTTTTTTGGCATCCTGCATGCAAAACAGTTGTGAATGAAGTAGATCACACAGTTAGGTGCAGTTAAATTGGCTGGACAAATGCATCGATGTCTCTTGCATGTGTGACAGGTGATCTGGTACATTTGGCTTGTTTTATTTCACTATCTTACCTGTCTGCAAAGGTAAGATGCTGCTGCAGAGAGGTTAGTCTGTCTGCCTTCTATTGTAAAAATTCCCGTGTGTCTGGTTACCACTGAGATATCTTCCAAACCTTTTTACCTGGCTGTGTGGCTAGTGATTGTTTCTTTTGGCAATCAGCTAACTACACTGCCTAGTAACTAGGCTGATGCAAGGGACAGTTCCCTTTCAACTCCTCCTTTGATGAAGACTGGGATTTTGTTGAAAAAACTCTTAGAGCAGGTTCTAGCACTATTAATTATTTTCTCCATTATTAAAATTCTTGAGTTTTAAGCAGAGTGATCAGAGTAAAAAACATTTGTAGAATAAGGTGAGTTTAATAGTCATTGCTCAAAATCCCCTTCACTTACTAGCTTGTTAAATAACACATGAACGCTAAATGAAAATTATTTTCACAGTACCTCACAGATAAGCTGAAGGGTGCAAACAAAAAAAGTATTAGTCTGATCTTATAAACCATTAAGTACACAATAAGTCTTCATGTGGCTAAACAATTTAAATGCAACAGACAGCATTCTTGCTCTAGGAAAGTTCCTAAGGATTTTAGCACCAACTTAAAGAAATCTAAGATTTCACTTGATATTGCCAACATAGACCATACACTTCTGCTGGACAGCTAAAATTCTGTAAATAAAGCTGAAAATGAATGATCATTATTAATAATTTTGCACTGGGAATAAGGATGTAAGGAAGTTTTGTAGTATGGCTTTCTGTACTGAGGTTGTGGCAGGGAATCCTGTGCCTTGTTTTGATGGCAGTGAAGTTAGTGATTGCGAAGCAATGGATACAATCAGCTAACTACACTGCCTACAAACCAAGCAGTACTCTTGTGATGGGGTCAGGCACTCAAACCTAGAAAAAAAGAAAGCACTTCCAATAATTATATTAACATACTCTGTCTCCTCAAATGCCCTTATAACAACAAGCAAATGACAATAATGGAAAACATTGGTCGTATCACCGTTTGTGTTATTCTACTAAATCCAAAGTCTTTATATCACAAATTAATTGTTCTTAATTTAAAACTGCAGTGGATGCATCACAAAGATCATTTCAGGGGTGCAAAGACAAAGCAACAAAATACTAAACTGTAAATTATTATAATGGACCACAATGGAAATGGGAACTGAGAAAAGCCTTGGCACGCAGTCCTTGCTGCATGAATGTGGACTAAGTGGTAGCTGTATTCAGAGCTGGAAGTGCAAATACAGCTGCAAACTTGGGCCAGGACTAAATGTTCAACATGAATAATATTCTACCTGGTTTACAGCGTGCCAGGCGTTAGTGCTCATGTCACAGTGATCCTACTTATTCTCTAATTGGGGCATTTGAGTCAGTGTCCTACAGCATGGGTTTCATGCAAGTTCTATTTAGAGGTTTTCAGAAGAAACTCCATGTAACTGGAATTAGAATGGTAGAATTTTACTAGTTCCCTGAACTTCAGAAAGATTTTTTTTTTTTCCAGAAAAATATAGGAACACAGACTGTGCTGGTAGTCAGATGTCAGGCTGCTCAAACCTTTTACGCTAATTTGGGGTAGCTAAAGAAATTAGCAAATCTGTTCTGCAGAACAAAACTGAATACGTGTAAGTATTTATAATCAATTATGCCTTTTGTCTAATGCATATGTATGCAATTAATAATGTGATAAAACTATTTTATATAGATTTATCAGGCTATTCCTAAACCAGGAATGTGACAGTCTGTGAGATTACAAGGGTAAGCTTGTCTGCAAATGAAACAATTTTGCTAGCTTTCCCTCATAAATGCCTTATTGTTAAAATGCATAAAAAGGATTCAGGACTTACCCTCAAGAAGCTTACCTTATAATAATCCTGATAAGGACTGCATTTATCATAAAATGCTTACAAAGATTTAATGGAAAGGGAAAAATGGATAGCTTCTTCAGTCTTCATTTCCTTCCCTTTTCCCTGGCTAGCACAGCAACCTATTCACTGAGCACCCAACAGTCCTTCACTCGCAGACATGCCTTCGAGAATGGTTCCTTAGGTGGCCCCTGGGTGCCCCATCTCTTCCCCTTGGACTCCTGGGTTGGAGTGTCCCCAGTCTGGGCTCTGTGGGTCAGCCCCATGCCTGTAACCTTTGTGTACATTCTGTCGTCATGGTCACTCAGCTGGGACTTGTGCATGGAGACGGGACTGTTGCTTTGAAACATGCAGATGGCTCTTGCCGTAGGAAGCTTTGTTGTAGAAGAGGTTTCTATAGGCAAAGTCAATACAGAGCACACACACAGTTTCTGCCCTGCTCCTGTGGACAAATGGCTACAGGTTGTGTCACAGATGACAAAGGTGATCCGGGCTTTATTGTCACATGTGGCAGTCCAGGCACGCACCTCTGGGGTGGTCGCTGGGTACTACACAGTCCCATGAACCCACGGAGTTTTTCTCTTCTGCAAAGGAAGATGACAGTTCACAGAATGAGGGTAAAAGCAGGTCCTGAAGCCAACTGTTGCAGAGCCAGCACATCTGCTATAGGTGTGGAATATAACTCCTTGACAGTTACATCTTATGTCCTGCATCTGTCCTGTATGACGCTGTTTTGTCGTACCACCGTGGTTTGAATGCTTGCTTGCACAATATGGCTGTTCTCACAGACCTTGTTTCAAAGACATTTTACAGTATTTTTCTTGGGCAGGAGGCTCCTCCTGATCAGTGTAATTAGCATGGTCATACTGTCATGTGTGCTTTGCATAATAAAATACAGTATTCATGGTAAAATCTTTAACGAGAAAAAAAATGTGTGTAGCTACCTATCACTTAGGTATTTACAGAACACCCACTGGGTAACTAAGTAATTAAGTAAAGATGAAAAACCTTGATAGAAGCATGGTTCATTTCTGAAATACCTGTTCTTAAGCCCTTTCATCAGGTCCAGAAAGTGTCTACTTATATGAGCTAAAAGGGAAAAATTTGTGAGCAATCAACATATTCAAATTTTAATTTGTGGCTTTCATTGGAATCAGTTTCTGTATTGTTTCAGTCAAAAATAATTCTTTGCACAAAGACTGCATGATTTAAGTAAAGGTGTAAGTTTTTAACATCCCAATATGAGGCTTCTTCTGCCCTCCAATATAATGGCATAGTCAATTGAATTGGTGCTGTGTTCATGCAGCACTACTATTGTTTGTCCATTGCTGTTACATGATACTTCCGAATGCCTTTAGGACAGTTTATAGCCTGAAAAGCCAAATACAAAGTCCTTTTCTCCAAGAAGTTTGTCTCCTAGGATGTTTTCCCTTATTGAAATAACTCAGGCTTACTGATTTTTATATCAACAGTTATGAACTTCAGCTGCTTACCTGGGGAAATTGTCATCCATCAACCACAAAAATCAAATGGCTCGTAGAAGGAAGATTGTTACTAGCAAGCTGCACTTTGTTTTGTTATTTCCATGTACTCAATGCTTTAAAGCAAGAAAACTGCAAGAAATTCTGCAGGGGTGACTCTTGCCAGTAGTGTGTTTAGGGAAACAGTGCTCCTGGTTTGGCCCACAGTTACTAGAGAAACTGTGTTTGACTCTTTCTCCTTTGTAGTTCATGCCTAGGCTTGCCTGGTGACCCAGGAGACCCATAATTTAATCTGTCTAAGAATGCTTGTGCTGAGTTAGGGGCCTGATCTGAATCCCACTGAAGTCTTTGGACAGATTTCTATTGATTTCAGTGAGCTCTGGATCAGTCCCATGAATGTCCAGGCACTGTAATGCAGTGGATTTTAGTGGTTTGGTTTTTTTCTCTTCTTAATAAGGATTAAACCCCAACATTTAACAAAAGGCACAAATGTCTGCTTGTTTATCTCATGCATCATATTTTTTGCAAAATCTGCTGGGATGCTAACAGTTTCTGTTTGGAAGCAACTGGGAATGAGTGGGAGCACAATTTGTTAACTGTTACTTAACAGATCTCACGTTGGGATGGACTATTCAAATTCTGATTTTGACATTTTGTTTCTTAGCTGCTTATTGTCCAAATTGAGTACCCAGAGCTACGTTTTCTTCAAGTCAGTGACAACTGACAGCATTACGAAGGATTTGAGTTCATTGATGCTACCTAATTAAAAAAGCCAGTTTTTCCTGTCACTGAAATGGGAAGCCAGAAAATCCTCTCGCTGTTCTGGTTTCTGTGCCATTAGCACTTTTGAACTCCTGCAAGATATTAAAAATA